TGCCAAAATAAATAACGAGAATTTAGTATCAACATATGCTTTAAAGTAAGCATCAGCACATTCAGAGATCCCTGCAAGGGGGGTACTGCAGAGAGACTACTACAAGTTTGAAGATAAGTATTGAAGAAAGACAATATTCCAGTTCTATTAGGATTATAAGCATTTTGGGCCAGGGACCATTTGTGTACCTTCCCACTTACCTTGAATAGTGCCAAATGCACTCTTGCCACTTAAAAATAATTTATAGCTGCTCAATGAATTATTCTATCTCTGCATTTTGCTACAGTGAATTGCACAGCTGGATGATCAATGGCCAGGGAAATTCAAGCAATCAAATGTAGTCTCTTCATTAATCTTGACAATCTTAATTACTAGAATCAGCCTCTCGTTCCTGAGCTCATTACAGTAAGGGAGATACCTATAAATAGTAAGTCAGATTGACCTATCCCAGCAGTGGCAGAACCTGTATTTCACTGGAATTTCATTGTATCTTGCAATAAAATAGTCTGTAGGAATTGCCTCAAATCTCTATCATATCAGTGAGATTCCTTCCATTCCTCAAGCAGTATTAGAACAAAATGTAGCTGCCTACATGGGTTGTTAAAAAGAATGAAAACTGGGAATCGACACAGAGAACTCCTGTGGGATAGATGAAAGCTAATTTTTTTTCTACCTAGAGAGAGATTAGATGTGCATAAAGCAGCTACTTGCATTTCTCTCTTGCTCTGGGCAAAACACCTACCCTCCCTGTATCCATGTCCCAGTCTGCAAAATTGAGGATAGTTGCATGCCTCACAACATGGTTCAGGTTTAAAAGGAGTTGCATACATGTAAAGGAATATGCTTTATATTAGAAATTTTTTTTTCCTGCATGGGTATGGTGGTTTTCTTTTCTTAAACTCAACAAACACCAACAAATTTAGAATAGGAACTTTTTTTCTGCCAGATGATGATAGCTCAAAATTACAGGCTGAATACTGTTGTGAAGTAAAGAGACCTAGGCTAAACCTGTCTTATAAATGGCTAATTTGGAGAAAATATGCGCTCTATCTATCTATCTATCTATCTATCTATCTATCTATCTATCTATCTATCTATATCTATATAAAAAATCAATGGTCACACACTACTGCAGGTGGTTTGACCATATTTCATATATGGTATGTGTCAGATTTAACCAGCACAGTAGTAAGGTAACCAAAGCCCAACATCAGTAATAGATTATTTAGTACTATTGACCTAAAAGCCATAATTTGATGATGGAGAAAAAACTGATATTGCCCTGTCAACTCCTTTATTAAATGCCTCTTACATAATTTCAGTTGAATTCGCTTGTGTTTTACCTTCTGGAGTTTGGCGTTTAGTCGTCGTCATAGCAGGGACCACTCAGTCTCATGTGGAGCCATATGATGCACTCAAACTGCCTGTATAAAATGTTCCTTTTATTTGTTGGACACTAGCCCTCTGAAATGGGCCTAAAGCACCATGGGTGAGCACCATGGGTAGTTAAAGTCTTGTATGAATACCCTGTAGCTAAGTATTCACACCACCTTCAAGATTGAGCAAGTGCTGCCAAGGCTGCTTGATCCACGATAACGTGACCTAGCTATGTGATGGGCACAGTTCATTCTGCTAGACCTATGTGGACTGTGAGCAAGCTTCCACATGTCTTGACTTGTATAAATTAAATGCATTCAGCATAATAATAGCTGAAAGAAGCCCATCAGGACAAAATAAACAAAGGAAAGTATATTGGAAACAGTTTAGGCTTAGACATATTGTCATCTTAGAGGAAAAAATGAGTTCATTGCTTATTGATAGCTTCCCTTGCCTGTTCTGCTACAGCGATTGGATTCCTGGCTGTGCAGCAGCAAAAACATCAATTTATTCCTATTCTTTCCCCCTTTTAACTTCTGTTATGAGACACTAGTTGACAGCCATAAGTTTGAGGCAAGTCCCACTTTCCTACAAGGGATGAGGAGGGAATGATCACAGATTCACTTTCTCAATTTTTTTTCTCTGCATGGATATTCTTAAAATGTAACAGCATGATTTACAATACTGTAAAAAAGCTATAAAAGCCACTATCTTAATGTTGTTTATTACAACAATCTATAACCACTTGGGTTGCTTAGCCTTGAATCATCTCTTTAGAATTACAGATGTAAAATCACATTTAATTGGTTAACTCTTAATGTTTAACTAGTTAACTGATTAGAGGGAGAGCTGGCTGGGGAGGGGAAGCTGGAGCATGCTCCCTCTCCCCTCCCAGCTATAGGTCAGAGCAACCCCTGCATGCACCATGCCCAGGCCCACCATGGACAAGGGCTGCTTCAGCAAGGCTGGCATGCCCCAGTCTGTGGTGTGCCTTGTGGGGCTGGAGCATGGTCCAGCCCGCAGTAGGAGGCAAGCTGCTCCAGCCCTCACTGGTTAACCAAACTGTTAAGGGTGATGCTAACCTGCTAACCTTTCACATCCCTAAAGTGTGTAAACTATTTATGCTAAACAACCTGTTCCACCTTGTGTTTTGCAAGGACACTGAGTATCTTTCCCAGAATGGAAGAAGAGCTCTGTATATTTCAGAAGTTTCTCTTTGACCAGTAGAAGTTAATCCAGTAAAAGGTGTTAACTTCACCTGCCTTGTCTGTCTTCTATGCTGGAACCAACACAGCCACGCCAGCACTGCAAAACAGAATTACCGCTGGTTTAGGAATTTCAGCTAGTTGCTTTGGCACTGGAATGTTGATAGTGAAATCCAAAATGGAGAAAGGGTGCTAAATTTTGCATGTCTCATCTGATACTTAACTTCATCATCTTTCTACCTATTGCCAGCAGATCTAGAGAAGTGATTATTTCCCTTTATTTGGCTCTGGTGAGGCCACATCTGGAGTCTTGTGTCCAGTGCTGGGCTCCCCACTGTAGAAAGGATGCAGATGCATTGGACAAGGTCCAGTGGAGGGCAATCAAAATGATTAGGGGGCTGAAGCACATGACCTACGAGGAGAGGCTGAGGGATTTGGATTTGTTTAGTCTGCAGAAGAGAAGAGTGAGGGGGATTTGATAGCAGCCTTCACCTTCCTGAAGGGAGATTCCAAAGAGGATGGAGAAAGGCTGTTCTCAGTAGTGACAGATGGCAGAACAAGGAGCAATGGTCTCAAGTTACAGTGGGGGAGGTCTAGGTTAGCTATTAAGAAAAACTATTTCACTAGGAGGGTGGTGAAGCACTGGAATGGGTTACCTAGGGAGGTGGTGGAATCTCCGTCCCTAGAGGTTTTTAAGCCTTGGCTTCACAAAGCCCTGGCTGGGTTGATTTAATTGGGATTGGTCCTGCCTTGGGCCGGGGGCTGAACTTGATGACCTCCTGAGGTCTCTTCCAGCTTTATGATTCTATATCTGAAGTGCCTGTAAAATGGACTTCTGTAAGGTGAAGCTGAGTTATAAGAAATGGTCTTTAAAATATGAATGTGCTAGAGGAAGGTGTCCATTAGTTTTCTTTTGAGGGAGGGGTAAGTGTGATGACACAATCATAGCTCTCTGTTCAGAGCATTTTTCCTTTATCATAATTCCTTCTTCTCTGGGATCTTTTTATAATTGTACTGAAACAGTTTGAATACCTTGCAATAGTGAATGTTTCCCTCCCCTCTGCAACAGAAGCCTTAGTGACTGAATTCTATAGGTGAGCAGTAGCAGCCAATTGTGCTGTTTCAAGGCTCCCTCAAGCATCTCCTTATGAAGTTGATCTGCATGTGTGTAATACTGAGAATTGAATTTCACTCCTAACTTGTATTTATGTCCATCTTTACTAGTACTGTAGTTTTAAGCCACTGCACCACTATATTTTGTAGTACATTTTGTTTGTGGCTAGTAATTTAACCTCTAACCTTGTCCTTATTTGGAAAATGCCATGCAAGTTTTAATGGGCTGGCAGTATTTCTGTCTTTGATAGATGTGCTTAAATTTGTTTAATTCTTATCATATATTCACTTATTAACCTAATTCTAATTACCCTATACTGATGAAAGAAAGGTGAGAAAGTTCAAGCCACTTAAATCTTTATTGCTGGACTTTAAAATATATAAGTATCCAAGTTAAGCCTGTGGTTAATTGCTTATTTTGCAAAACTGCATTTTCTCTACCCAGTGTCTACTTTTTTCTTTGATGTGAACAAGAATCATAAAGTTACATTTTCTTTAGGTCAATACTGGGCGCTTTTTGCTATTGCCTTGTTGTATAGCATTTCTCTGTTTTGCAGGGAATATGAAATATTTTTTAAAAATTTTGTTTTCATGACTGCACTTGCCTTGTTACTATTTCAGTTATGCAGATTCTTGATGCTGTGGAGATTTGTGCTTGATGACGCCAAGGCAGCTGCACGTTGTTAGCATTGTAGGTTGTCAGATGATCATGTGGGATTCTTGCAGCATGCAACATTCAATAGGATTGAAAAAGGGCTTTTGATGCAAGGCATAGCTTTCCGACTATATTTGTGCCTTTTTAGCTAGCTAATATAGAAAACAGATCTAATTTAAATTTTAGAATGCTGCCTCATTTTTCTTCTGGTTGGTTTCATTTTGGCTTCACTAGAAGATGCATCTGGTACATCCATGATTGAGGAGTTTATTAATGATATTGTCATTCAGCTCACTTACTTTCTTTTCTTTTAGAATCCTAGCTAACCCACAGATGACATGATCACACATTCGTTCAGTCATTCATACAGAATACAAACCACCATGCATGATTTCTTCCTCTTTCTCCCCTCTCTCTGCCTTTTCATTCCTTTTTAAGTTGCATTGTCATGTTCTCTTTTACCACTAAGCTTTGTCTTTTGTCTTCCCCTTCCATTGTTAGCTGTATTTTTTTCCCTCATGCTTGGTTACTGCAATATTATTTGATTAACTGGCTGTGATGATGATGAACCTGCACACTGGAGGAGCAGCTACTACAGTGGTGATGAAGGGATGTAATAATGGTCGCTATCCTCGGAATTCTCTCTACAGTGACTGCATTATAGAAGAAAAGGCAGTGGTCCTGCAGAAAAAAGACAATGAAGGATTTGGATTTGTGCTCAGAGGGGCAAAAGGTATGCATTTTTCTGTGTGTCTGTGTGTAAATATATACAATATATACATTCACATCTCCAAATAAGCAGGAATTATTCTTGGTGCACTTGGTTGCTAGACAACAGTGTTTGCTGTATGCTGTGCTACTCAGATGTATTTTAGTGCTTTCTGTTTGAGCAGTTTAGGTTTTGTGCAGAGCTCTTTCATATATATTCTTCCTTGGGGGAGAAAGTTTGTTTATTTTTATTTCCAGGGTAGTTTCAACATTTTTGCCATATACTTGTCCATCTAAGCCAAACTACAGGCATCTTGTTTCAGAGGAAAAAATTCTTACCCTGTGTATTTCAAATGTCAGTCTGTTTAAATTATATTTATGAATAGCAAATAAAAAGGCAGGTTAGGGTTTTGCTTAAAATAGGTGTGGATCTTGCGCAAGGTGACATGAATACAATTTTAGTATGGAAAAATGATCTTTATTACATCTTCAGAAGCTGCACGTATGTTGCATGGCCTGTAGTGTGTTCTAAGAACAGTTTTTTTTCATATGTTAAAATATGTTAACCTTTTTCTTAGACAATAATCTACTTTTAGAGGATTTTTAAGAGTGAAGCCTCACATTTAGTGCTCTGCTTCTCAACTTAAGCTTTAGTGTCAGTACATTTTACTCCCTTTATGTTTTAAAAATGTATTGATGGTATGTTCCATCTCTTCCTCCCCCTCAGTTTTTCTGTGGGTTCTCCCTTGCCCTGCTCCAACTAAAGGGTTGCCCATGTGTGGTCATGAAGGATATTCCATACCCTCATTCTGGGGATATCATATTTTTTTCTTCCCTCACTACGATTATTGTTTTTAATCATTGTGAATGCACTTGTTCTGTCATCCTGGTTAAATGCATGTGAAGGGGGACTCCCAGGAAAGCCAGTTGTTTTACCACTTTGTTGATTAACTACCATGAGTTGTCTATGGAGCAAATAGAGGTTACATCTCTGTGTAAGCCCAAGCATTTCTGAGTCACACTTATATGCTCTCACATTCAGGGATCAGAACTCCTCAGGATTATTAAGGGCTTTAGATCTTTTACCTAAATCTTTGATACAGGGCTGCTACCAGGCCTGCTGTGTCTTCTCTTGCATAGAAACTGATATCTCTTCTGCTCACGTTTTGAGATTCATATGAATATAAAGAATAACTTAGCTTGATTTTATATTTTCATTTAATGTTGGCAAAAACTTGTCCTTCCAGCTATAGATCATGAAACCATATTAACTCTTTCAGAGAATGAGATGGGCATTTTAATAGACACTATCTTTCCAAAAGGCTTTGACATTCACTAACAAAACTGAACTATTACACTTTTTTATTCCTTTATGTGGGTGATCAGTAAAGGGGAATGCACTCAGAAATCGAGAAATGTAGCGAACCAAGGCCAAGGGATTACCTGTATCTAGATTATCTGAGGCAGAGCCTAATTTACTTTTACCACCAAGTACATTTTTGGCCTTACATAATTCATAATGAGAGTCTCTTTCAGTACAATTGTGTGCAAATATTGTTTTTATTTACATTTTAACATGGTTTTAACATTAATATGGTTTACTTTCAAAGCTGATACACCTATTGAAGAATTCACCCCAACTCCAGCCTTTCCTGCTTTGCAGTACCTGGAATCTGTAGACGAAGGGGGAGTAGCATGGCAAGCTGGCTTGAGAACTGGAGACTTCCTGATTGAGGTAGGAAAACATGGAATTTGATTGTGTGTTCCGGTGGGATAAATTTTGGAGGTAGGAAAACATGGAATTTGATTGTGTGTTCTGGTGGGAGAAATTTTGTATTTTATTTTGAAACACTTATTTTGAACTGAAAAGTATGCTTATGATCAATAGTGCACGGGATGTTGCTGATATAATATTAACCTTGGTATTCTGATTTCATTCAACATTTAGGAAAGGAACACAAACATTCAGATGTTTGTGGTATAGATTTTCATTTTAATTTCAAAATATAGCATGTGAGAAACTCCTGGAGGCTGGTTCTGGTTTTGATTTTGACTACTAATAGTATAACTTTTAAAAAATGTATTTTGAAGGGTCACTAAACTTAATTACTATAGCATTTATATAAAACCCCTTTTGAAGTTTATTCCTCACTGTTACAGGATTAGATGAAAGGATTTCAATAGAATGGTATAAATTATTGGTGACAATATTCTAAATCAAAATTAAATTATAGAAAATAGTATTGTATTGGTGTCTGAACTGATACTGTATAAAAGGTAGACTACGTTATATCCTTTAAATGCATGCACAAAAAAGCCTGCAAGAAAGATTTTATATTTGGCAGATGTAGCTAGACAGAGGATTGTTAAAAACCAGTAGCAAGAAGTGCTCAGGTGTAAGTTCTCATGTTGTTGGGTGTGTGTGGTTGGGGGTGTAAGTTCTCATGTTGTTGGGTGTGGGTGGTTGGGGTGTGTGGTTTGTTTTTTTATTTATTTATTTATTTTTTTTGTGGAGGTGTGGGGGTTAACTGATGTATTGCTGTGACAGACATGATAGTTTGGAGGATGCTTCCATAACTTGTTTTATAGTCACCACAGTTGATGTTCTGTTTCCAGATGTTTTGCAACATGAATCTACAAACAAAATAATTCTGTTCACAGAGTATATGTACATGTGTTAGTTTGTATAAGAAAAAACTGATGTTTCATATACTGACTTATTTTTCTTCCTCCCCTCAAAGATGCTTTTGTATTTGTTGAACTTTTGAGCTGGAATACAAAACAAATTCTGCATAGATGAGATACGGCGTTCTATTCTATGTTAAATGTAAAGGCAATTTAGGTTGGTAACTTGCATGGCCATGCAGTGAGTATATACACAAGAACTCCCTGTGTATTCGTGAAAGAATAAACTATAGATTTTTCAAGATTAACAAGAAATTTAAATGCTCCTCTGAGTTGAATGCTTAAACATGCAAAGATATTTTAAAAATGGGAATTACTGGTCTGATTGGACTTTTAGCTAGTTTGTTTTCAAGGTTCTGTTCTGGTAGTACTAGGTATTTGGAAGATAATTTACTATTTAGTGCTTTTCTGAAGATGTGTAGAAGTATCAGTTCTGTCTTTAGGTGGTTAATTTACACGGGCTATTCACAGGAAGCTTTGATAGATCATGAACAATGGCTAACTCCCTAAAAGGAAGATAACAGGTTGACAAAATGACTTTTAAGAATTGCTTAGGAGATTCTGAAGAGGTGTAGGGCAATTAATACTGTAGAAGGCCATAACTTGGTTTCTGAACAAGCTTCATAATGAGTTGAATCAACTTCTAGATCCAATTTTAGTAAAGCATTTAAAATATGCATTTAAATGTTGCCCTCCAGAGGAAGGATGTAATGAATCAGGGCCTTAATCCATACTTCAGTGCAGTGAAGTTTGTAGCCTGTTCTGAAAGATGTAGTGGTAATGTGTAAAACCTAATCTAGTTGCATAAATAACCTGACCATTTGAGCTGCTACTTCAATTGCAAAAGAATTACAGCTTTTAGTTTGATCAAAGTGGTCCTCAGAAAAAGAAAATTTAGCTTTTCTGCCATTTTGTCAACTGTGTGAGTATTTTCCCATTATATAAACCATACATTAAAGTATTTGTATTAATGCAAAGATGGGGTTTAATGTATGGCAGTTATATGGCTCAATAGTAACAACAAAATGCACCTATAATTTAACATTGGCTTTATTTTTAGAATCTATTTAACAATATTGGAATTACTAAGACTTGAAGTGAACTTCATGTTGCAATATAAGATGAATATCCTAATAAAGGATAGTATGATCTTAATACTAATTTCCAAGTGACTGACTGACTCTCCCAACAGGTTGCCAATTTGTATGTGTGTGTGTGTGTGTGTGTGTGTGTGTGTGTGTGTGTGTGTGTGTGTGTGTGTGAAAATAATCCAGTAATGTCATGTAATTTACTTCCTTTAATTGCTTGTTGCCTATTTACATTTTTTTAAAGCCATATAAGACACATTTGACTTGTTCACATGCTAGAAAGCTTGTTTTTTTTGTTTGTTTTTTTTAATAAGACTTCAATTAAGAGCTTGTATTAAATTTACAGTATTGCAACATAGTACTTTTTGCCTTTGTGTGAAAACTTTATAGTTTCATATATGCTCTTCTTTTTATCTTGGTTCTTAAATAGCATTATATTTTTGTGACCGAATCATTAATTAATACACATTAATAAGCACTTGGATAGTCTAGATTTCACATAACTTTTGTTAGTATTGATAGGGAATTTCTTTTCCATTTGACTTCTATAATTAGAAGAACACTGTTTAACTTGTCTTTGGAATTATTTTTTTCATTTTGGTATCTCCATGCATTATTACACTATAGCACCTGCCCCTAAGTGGGAAAAGAATCAGAAAAGTGCAAATTACTAACACAAGAGGGAATCAAATGTTATCTGGATACTTTTCCATGACACTTACAGCTAAGTAAACCTTCTCAGTGATGAAGCTGACTTGATATGTGATGATAATATATATAAGCAAATGGATTTTTACAGCATTACACATTATGATTGATTAGATTCTATAAATATTTACTGACATGAAAAAATGCTTGGAGGATTGTAAATCAATATGTTTGCAAGAAAGTATCTTAACAAGCTACTTCTCTGCTCACTTTATCACTGACTTGCTGGGTGACTGCGTCCCTAACCTCTTTACCTTTGTTTCCCCATGTGTAAAGTATGGGTAACATACCACACTTGCTGTATGGGAAGATTTCAGAGTTAAATTTTCTTAATGTATAGTGCTTTGAGATTTTTAGGTGAAAATGCTATGGAAACATAATCTAATATCTAATGTAATTAAATTCATGCTGAGGCCATTTGGAAGCTATTTTCTTGTTATGATGTCTGGCCTCTGTAATAGTTTCTTTTGCTCTCTGTAGCTGTTGTGAAATGGTAATACTCCTTTATATTTGAAACAGCCGTACCACTTTACACATGTACTGTAAAGTGACTCAAATTAACTTATTTTATTGACTGATGATACTTGATTCAAAGATTCTCAGCTACCCTATTTATTTGTATAGGTTCTCTTTTGCTACTGAAATCTATCGGAACAATGTGTGACAATTGCTCTTTTAGTAATTTCATTTTCTAATAAATATAGACCATTTTACTTGTATATTTCTTTATAAATCTGCATATGCCTCATATTTTTAAATATGCCCCCTGAATTGTTACCTAGTAGGGTAGAATTAAAAATAGTTTAACAATGCATGACAACAATCTTGCGAACTATGAAAAGTTATAGCATAGATGAATAAATTTTAAGGTCAGTATGGACCATACTAGTCATAAATCTGACCCCCTTGCTTAGCACAGGCCATTAAATTTCCCTTAAATAAATATATCCTGTTTAAAGTAGAGCATGTTGGTGTGAGAAATATGTCTAATATTTCATCCACAGTCATACTGGCAATGTCGTAATGTATCTACTATAAAAAGGAAGCTACTTCTGGGACATTTTACTAATACAATTTTATGTTTTCCTCTGTTAAATGATGTACGCACTTTACTGACCCTGGGTAATATCTGGCATTTGCAAGTAGATTGAAATTTTATTATTATTGGAGTATCCATGACTGTTTATAGGCTAACTGGAATTCTAAGTTGCTGACTAACAATCTAATGTTTTATTGTCATAACTAGAAGAAAGGAAATTTCAAGGTTTGATTGAAAGATTTAAAATTAAGCAAATATTTTAGTGCATATTTCCACAATCCTCTTCCCCCCTCTTCCCCCCCTCCCCCTTCTCTGAATTGATACATCAGGGAGGAGTCTGTATTAGATTGATGGAACAGTGGTTTCTAGACAGATCTTAATAGAAATCGTTTCTCTTCTTAATAATCTAGCTAATACTTAAAAGTGACACATGTAGAGCATTGTGTATCAGATTCTTGCCTTTGTCTTCAGTTGTTCATTGAAGATTTATTTTGTATAGCTTTTATGTTTAGTATGCATGCAATACAATAAAAATAAAATATTTTGCTGTTATATGGCTTTATATAATATAGAATATCCCTTATCTACTCTAGATATATAGAGAAGTAAACAAATCCTTTTGGTCAATCTTTTAAAAACTCTCAGGAGCTGATTTTAGATCCAGAGGTTTAGTAATAGAGATTCTTTTGTTTCTTTTATGGCACATTTAAACTTTTGATGTGTAGAAATTGCATGTGAGACTGTGATATTACACTGATTGGAATAGCAAGCATTTACTGCTGTAGCCTAATGAGTGTAATATAGATCTTCATTTTCTGAAAAATATATAGAAGGCTCATTTTTATATCTGTACTGGAATATCAGATTTGTGTAAATGAGGAAAAATAGTAATTTTATGTACATGCAGATCATATTTACTGTTGTGTGTACTTTAAAAATAGTTTATTTTTAAATAGATCTGTGTACAGACTTAATCCTGCAAATGTACTTTTAGGAAACCTTTCTTCCACAAAAATGGTTGAAATTCACCCTTGTGCACAGGGCCCACACAATATCTTCAATCCCACTTAATCCTTATTTTGAGAATTTAAGTGGTGGGAAAGTCTTGTGCTGCCCCTCTTCACTGAGAGGGGTTTCATTCATTTGTGGGAAGAAGTATAAACCCAGTGTGTGTGGTTTACTGAAGCATACTTGGAGTGACTGACTATTTGCAGG